CCCCCCCCCCCCCCAGTGAAGGTCCCTTCTGTCTAAAATATAAGCAAAAAAGGGGAAGAATAACTTAGTGAAGAAGAGTATTTAATATTCCCATGTCTATGTCTAGCGGATGACAAAGTCGTCATCTTTCGCGCAGTTATACGACATTCTTCGTATTGTACTCGTGTTATTGACAAAACCATTTATGGACAACAGCGGAACTAACCGTAGATAACCGACTTTCGCTCGCAATTCGCGCTCAAAAAATAAAAAAGATGTAAATGGAACAACATTTACCGGTTGAAACTTTCCAATCGGGAAGAGAGGACAACCTTTTCAAACAAACCGTTCATTCCGGAAAAGTTCCGGTTGGGCAGTCGAAATATGCTCGTTCCATTTACTTTCCGTATGGAATCACCGGAATTTCCATGTAAATGGTAAACAACCAACATTATAGCTATACTATAGCAAGTAACTAAGACTAGAGCCGTAGAGAACCATTTATGCGATAACTCCCCTTATATAAGACGCGTCTTATTAAGTCGCGACTTATTTTGTCCGTATAAATGGCCCTAATGTCAACTAATATATGTTTAAAAAACTCATTCTCCGTATTACAAAGAATGATTTTTTTCAAAATATATATTAGTTGACATTATGTTTGTGATGAAATAGTAAAAAAGTCATGTTCCGTATACTGTACATAACGTTTCGTTTTTATCTGAACCACTCGCATATGTTTTAAATTGTCCTGGTAACATTAAAAATAAAAAATGTCCTGGACAATTTCAGCCGGAATATTCGCATTCTGCTGTAGATCCTCGACGAAAAGAGGATTCGTTTGAACTCTCTCTTGAAACATCTCAACAAGGTGCGCAAAATTAAATAGCGCGAATTTAAAGCTAAACAAAAATGAGTACGACGCGAATTTTAATACAAGTAAGGTATATGAAAGAGTTTGAGAATTTAACTGTTGTTTGTTCAAAGTCGAGTATTGTCATCATAAATACACTATAGTTTGTCTTCAATATCTCTCAACTCTATAAAGACTACAATGTCTACTATATTAAATACACAAAAGTAGGGTGCATTGCCAGCTAATGGGTTAATAGACCTTAATGCTATTTGACCAATGACCTCATTTTCATGTTGGTTATTTACCCATGTTTAATGATACTTCCCTTTACAGAATTGTCTAGAAGTATAAACATAGTACGTGTACAACTTATGTTTAATGCCATTATAGACAATTCAGGAGACATGTCTTCTGGATTGTCTTTGATGCCATCTGTCCTTGCCTGTCTATAGCAGACATTGAAAACATCTATTTATTACTTTTACCTTATTCCCACTCGTGTTTTGTTTTGATTATTTTTTGTAGTAATTGTCTTAGCTTCCTGTATATTTTTAATTATATTATATTCTGTAATGCGATTTACATATTTTGTTTACACTTTGTTATGATTAAATCCATCTAATTGGTTTATTTTTTGTCACGTGATGCTTTCATACTCTTAGTATAAAAGCCTGTGCATTTTCCCCCGATCCCTGCTACTAACTCTTGACGAAGGGCATCGCTCGAAACGTCGAGTTTCTGCTTGTTTTTTAAGGTAGTAATATAACCACTCAGCACAGCATTTTCACATTGGTACTACCTACACTGGTACAGACAGTTTTCGTGTACAACTATATACAAGTTAATTTTACATTCAATCCATGTGGCAAAAAGGCAGCACTTTCCTTGCGATAGTAACCCCAAGTTTCATATGATAAACATAACGCAATAATTTTGGGAGCTGATTACGCAATGGTATGAGGCTCAGTGTGAATTCCTTGACAACGCCAACAGCTGTTACAGCTCTGAAATTCCTCAGAATTCTCCCAAATTCCTTAAATTAACTTGCTGCTTCACACTTATTAAGTTACATATTCAAAAATCATAACTAATACTAATCAATTGTTTAGAGAACGAAAAATGTTCAAGCTATTAACTAATCTAACTGCTTTCTATCTGAGGTACATAAACCAGTGTTAATCAATCAAGTCACTTTAAAATTATATAAAATTCCCCTTTTCAAGGAAAATCTTGCAAGCTGCTATTGTTTGATTCCCGAAAAACGAATGTTTTTCAAAAACCAGGAAGTACGAAGTCGAATCATAACAAAACAAAACAGATCGCGTTTAAAAGTTGAACAATATGTCTTGAAATGGTGATTGAAAATTATGTATTATTTTATTGATACATCGTAGAGTTAGCCACAAATACTGCCAATATTAAATTTGAATACAATATTAAAAGAGGAGTTGGTAGTCGGTGAGACAAGCGATTGGCGCTTTCATTTTCTCACCGGCCATTCGTGGCTGTTTGTGACAATACAATGGATTCAATAAAGCTATTTCTCAAAGAGGTTACGGAAGAGTTGCTGTACAATATCGTGTATGATGAAACTGAGATCGACTATCGCAGCTTAAGCATGAATTTCGAGCTGAAAACTGGCTATCGACCCATGGATTTTTTTGGTTTCGGTAATCACACCGGTCGCGGATGATTGGATTTCATAAAAGGAATACCCGGTGTACAAGGTAAGAAGAATGCATATATTGAAGATAGCAACTATGTCTATGACGACAGCAACTCTGATGACAATGAGGACGAAGATCATGTTTATAAAATATTTAACAGCACATACTTGTACGTAGCAACAGTGACCACTGTCGCACAATATCGCGAGATGATTTTGAGTAAATGTTGCGAAATGATGGAATATAACTTCGCTGACTTGAGCAGTTGCAAGGACGCAAACGGTAATACACCATTACACCTTATCGCGGCCCTACCTGGTATCACTTGTGACACTTTAGTGAAATATTTGTTGCAAGCCGGCGTTGATCCACTAGCAGCCAACAACGACGGGCAAACTTTTCTGCATATAATTTTTGGTAGATTTAAAGCACAAAACGGTGCTAATGGTGCACTGTGGTTTAAGAATGAACGCCTTGCTAAAACAAAATGGTTCGTCAAGGACAGAGTCGAGCTACTAGAACTGCTTTCCCAAGAATTATCACCGACATATACTGCTCTGTTGGCAAAGGCACAAGACAACGATGGCAACACGGTGCTACATGAATACGCACTGTCTACAACAGTGGAACACGAACTCGTTGAAAACAAAATTTGCAAAAAATTACTAAAGTTTGGTGCAAGCTTGAGAGTTACAAACAACTCTGGCGATGTTCCACTTCATTACGCTCATACTCCTGAACTGTTCAAGATATTTCTTCAGAATGGTGCTGTTTGTCGGGCAAGAAATGATCACGATGAATCACCAGTTTTGTTTATCTTGAAAGCGTCGGCCAACCTTGCATTTGTTAAAACCTCTGCGATTGCAGAACTGGCAGATCAGGCTTTTGTGAAAACAACCAGTACCAGATCAGTTCCAGAAGCTGTAAAAGTACTGAAAAACCTGAAGAGCATAGTTTCACAAAACAAGGTTGCCATGGAAACTGTTTGGATTCCTGACGTAAAGGGCAACGTCCCAATCGATATAGTGCTCATCTCTATACGAACTGGATCTTATGATTTGGAGTCTACTCTTTTCGGCGAAGATGAGGCTTATGGAATAGCCGCAACTGTGCTGATGGCTGAGTTGTGCTCGTCTCTGGTAGAATTATTAGGTGAAATGCTACGCAATGCAACAAGTGACACGAAACGACAAAACAAGAAAGGCCAAAGTTTTCTCCACGTGCTACTCGATATGGGCGATGACAACAAACACACGATAATTAGAGAAAACAACATATGTCAGAGCGTGGAAATTCTTCTGGAGCACGGCGTGGATGTAAACACAGTTGATTCAAAGGGACGTACCCCTCTAGACATTGCACACAAGCATCACGACCAGAAATGCGCTGATTTGCTTATTAAGCACGGAGCCACTGGAAAACGTCATAAAAGGAACATTTCATCTTCATCTTCACCTTCGACACCATCTCTATCTATGTTCGAAGGAATGTTCAATTTACGTATTCACAACGAAGTACGGAAGCTCCGATCGTGTCCGACGCTTCATTTGAAGAACGCAAAGCGTTTAACTACTGCTCCTACTACCGAGGTCACTGTCGTAGGAAAGTACCGTTATTCCAATCAAGACTTGATTGGATCTGGCGGATTCAGTTCAATCTTTCTAGCAATTAAAGACGAGAACGTTGACAGCGGATCTGGGACAATCGAATGTCGAGCTTACGCCTTGAAACGAATGGAGAAAGCAAAGATGAACCCCAAAGAGATCAAACGAGAAATTACGACCTTGCTTTCTATATCTGGCAAGTGTGAGAATATTATCAAATGCCACGAAACTGTCGAAGACAAGAACTTTCAGTACCTCTGTCTTGATCTCATGGACGGTGATCTCGAAGAGTTTGTCACAAACGATGAGGTCAATAAAGTTCTGAAATCAAATCCGGCGACAGGTGCGCAAATTACCACAGAGATCATCAATGGTTTAATATTTCTTCACGGACAGAAATTCATTCATCGCGATCTCAAACCGGGAAACATCCTGTACACAACAGATCCCACTTTGCAATTCAAGATAGCCGACTTTGGGCTGACGAAGAATACGTCGAGTTCATCCTCGATGTCCACCATGAGAGGAAGTGGTGTTGCTATGGCACCCGGCACACGATGTTGGATGGCGCCAGAGCTGGTCAGTAGGAATTCAAGAGAGCATATCCAACAGTCCGATATCTTTTCCATGGGCCTGGTACTTCATTATCTTCTCACTCTTGGCAAGCATCCTTTTAGAACAGGAAATGAAGAACCGGATCACGTTATTGAAAGAAAAATCGTGGAGATGCCTGCAAACCTCGATCGAGCGTTGCCTGCAGAAGTCACTAGTTTTCTTCAGGTTCTTTTGAAAAAGGTTCCATCCAGAAGACCGCCAGCAGCATACCTCAGCCAGCATCCCTACCTTTGGAGCGATAAAAAGATGGAATTTCTGAAAGCAGTAGGCGATCAACAAGAAGCTGCTTACCCGGCAAATAATCCCAACTCGGCATTGGAGCTACGTTTGCAAACTACAAATACTGGTCAACGTGTCAGGATTATATCCTGGGATCTGGCTATCGGAAAGTTGTATGAAGAAATTACCAGAGCTTGGAAATCTAAGAAGTATCGAACTGACAAAGTAATCGACTTGATAAGATTCATTCGCAATGCATACGCTCACAAACAAGAGAGGTCGTACCAGACACAGCAAGATCTTGTTGACAACATTTTCATACGGGTGTACCCTTCTCTTGTGCTTGATGTTTTTGGTGTAGTACAAGGGTTGGGGTTTGAAGAAACCCGTAGCAGTATTCGTGAGGCTTTAAACTTGAACACATGACAGTGACACAACTTCAGACAAGGTACCACATCAA